CTCCCTCCCTCCCTCCCTCCCCAGAAGAAAAGAGAGAGGAACAACAACAGAAGGAGAAACAAAGTGCTTCAAGAAATTATTTGACACAAATAGCTGGTTTGCTGCAACTAAAACTTTGGCCAGACAGGAAGGCAACAGAAAAGTGCAATTTATGGAAAGCAAAATTACACTGGAAAATGGGTAGACTAAGATAGACTTCAATTAACCAACAGCATGAGGACAAATTAGGTGTTTTTTCATCAGCCAGTGGCAGAAAGCCTGCAGGAATTGCGTTATCTGCATATAAGAAAACAGTACAAGGGAGGAAAAGTCATTGAAGACCTTTCTTTCTCAGCACTGAGACACAATACATTTCACTGTTACCAGATATTGGTGGTGTAAGGGAAGGGTTAATAAAGATTAATATTAAAGTCAGTGACTCACTATCCAACCTGAATAGAAGAGAATTAGGAGTGGCTCTCTAGAAGGAAGGAACTGAACAGTCATTAGGAAGAACTCCTAATGAATAACCATGTCAGGGCAAGAACATAGAGATGAATGTTATCATTTTAGTCTTGATTCCTCTGTTAATGAAACTTGGTCCCACTGTGAAATGAATATGGACGTGTGAGCTGTGGAATAGGCTATCCACGGTAACCTCAATAGGTACATTTGCTTGGGAATAATTGATACATACATTATCCATGGAAAACGCTTGTTTTACATTATTTCCCTTAATATGTCTTCTCCTTTCTCACTCCAATGTCTCACTGTGGAGCTGCTGCCCCAGAACTTCCCAGTTCTTGCTGCTGTGAGAGAAAAACTCCCAGCCCTCCTTACTGTTGGGTCTGTGAGTGGCCATGGGCTCATCCTGTGGGCAAGATACTTTTCTGCATTGTTACTTCAGTGCTCAAAGTGAAATATGTCTCATTATTTTTGGTACTGAATTTAAATGCAGACATTTGCAAATAAACATCCAATAAATGTTACCATTCTACTGTTAGCTATGACTGTTAGCTGCCCTGTTTCCCTTCCCTGTCATCTGGAGCATCTGACTGTAGTAGGGGTAAATAGCACGCAGCAATAAAACTGACCCTTGTTTTTTTCATGGGGTATTGGGGGATATGGGATATACCTACTTAATAAAAATTTCTCTTACAGAAGCTTGCAGAATCTTCATGAGATTTATATTAAACCAGCAAAATTGTACTGGGACACTTCTGCAGGTTGACTTACCTTCATCCTCAGTATGTATGTTGCATTCTCAAGTTATTTCCTCTTGGGGATTTTTTTAAGTTATAGGCATGTCTACCACATAGTCTAATATAGTTGTGAAAAGAGAAGAAATTGAAGGAAAGTTACTTAGCTTTAAAAAAAATTTGGGGGTCAGAATTTGCCATTCATTGTAGTCATTGTCTAATTTTGTATCATAGTTCATGCTACTAGGTGAGAATTCCCTTTCTTGTATCTTGGGTTGGTGCGATTACACCATACACATTCACACAAAATTTATACAACCAAAAAGTTTCCATGACCAGGTATCTCTCTATAGCCTTCCAAACACCATCTCGTTTCAGCATACAATAACTTTTTTCAAATATCTGTGATACCTATGATGGAACATTTTCCTCTTAGGACAAAAGAATACGCATATGGAAGACACCTGAGTCATTTAAATGATTATCAGTCTCTCCAGTACATCAGCTCTTAGAGGAGTTTCGGTCTGTTTATTGGGACTTCTTCCTTTGTCAGCTTTCTGCAAGACAAGATTGCAGAAACCCATAGGTGATTGGTCAGCTTAATTTTATTGCTAACAGTTAAATTTTTTCTTAGTCTATTCTCCCAGCAACAATCCGCTAATACCAGTTATGGTATCTTTTGTAAAACTTCATCTTTGCCAAGAAGGCTGCTGAAATTTTTAATTTTGGCTGATTTGCTCTTTCTCATCAAGCATTCCTCCACTCTAACGTTTCAACTTAATTGAAAATTCACCTTCCACTGTAACTTCAAATTGTGAGAAACTAGTCACACTGATAATCTGGTGAGTGCAACTTGCATCTTTTCACTGGTATCAAGCCTCTTCTGTTGGCTGTGTATGTACCTGCTCTGTTTTGTTCCAGTGTAGAACTTCTGCAGGAGGCTGATGCTAGGGAGCAGAATATTCTTCTGCACTTTCTAACTGGCCACTATAAACTTTGGTGATGGATTGCTTTGCAGCATCTTAATTTGCTTTTCAGTACTGTTCTTGCATCGGCCATGTAGAATTTGTGCCTTTCTCAAGCTCTCCATCTCTATTAGCTTAAGCCTCTGGTTTAACTCTGAAGACCGTGAGCAAAGACTGCAAGGGGTGCACAAGAAACTGCACTCCACTGATTTTTGGGTTTTTTTTTTCATTCTTCCTTAACACCTTTAATGTTTGTGAGAGTTGAGAATAAATCCTACTTCTTTGCCCATCTAAGACAGGGGTGCTGTTCTGGCACTCAGGAAGTCTGCTCTCTTTGCACTTGCTTCATGCAAATATGTGCCCAGTGGTGACCATACAGGAAGAAGTCTTGTCTGGTTTTTTTCCTATTCTGCTGGCATTTGCTTTTTTATTTACCTTAACAGAATGTAGATTTATCCAAAGCATGTTCTTCCTCATTACATTTTTCACACTTAGTCAAAAGCCATTTTGTGGTAAGCTGCTTTATTTCATGTATTTCAACTGCTGTTGATTCTTGATTGGTTCTTCAGAGATTTTCTCACATTTCTAGCCCTTCATTAACTTCAGTAAGTTATTTAAGAACTGCCAGTCTTACCCAAAATTGTTAAATCGTCCTGAGTTCTTGCATATTCAGAGTGTTTTCTGTACGTTGTCCCTGATAGCTTCCCATTGGCTGATCCAGGTGGCTGACACCAGGGCAGAAGCCCAGCAAAGCCACCAGTGGTGAAACAAAGACTTTTTTCAGTGTCTTCATATTATTTGTGAATTTCATTTGGCATCTTAATTTTGCTGTGAGCTCCATGTAATATTTTCTCCCAATATAATTGTTGGCCTGTGTTTTGGTATATTGTCTGTTATACAGCAGACAGACTACTATTTTAGTATCATTAACAATTACCTATGCAAAACACTAGAAAACAGCTCCTCTGGAAGACCCGTTCTAAGGATTGTGGCTATGACAAACCCGTCAGCACATTTTCAAGTATCTGGTCTCTTCTTCCTCCTGAGACAATATCTGGTGTGTGTGTTTGAAAAAAGCAGATGTAGGAAGTGTATTGTATTTGAATGAGCTGGGCAACAATTTACATTTCTTGTGTAGAATGGTGAATGCAGAGAGAGGGAGTGGCGACGTAACACCACACAAATAAGATCATGAGGAGCTGTGTTATCTTCCTGGGAGGGTATTACAAGACTGCTTCTTGGCAACCACTTTGGAGTTGCACTTTTTTTCTATTTTCTTGGATCAGTTGACCTGTTAATATCCTCTTTGCATCTATTTTTTTCCTCTTTCCCTCTTTTCCAAAAGCATCTGCTGCTTTCCAAATAATTTCTTTAGGCCATTCAAATACTAGTAAAACACACCATGCCAACGCTGAAATCTTTTGTAGATGGGACATATCTGAAAACATGTCACTTGCTACGTGAATGGCACAGGAAGAGAAAAGAACTCCCAAAGCCTGCTGTGAAGCCCACATTAAGATGAAGCACTGTGTAGTCTAAGGGCCAATCTGAAGAAAAGATGATTTAAAAGCCATCATACTTTAGTAGAGCCACTGCTACACTGAAACACAAAATTTTTGATGGTACGTAGAGGCCAAACTCTTAGGAGCTAGGCCCTGTAAATGACAATATTGCTTCAGCAAACTTTTAGGGCAAGAAAGTAATTGGCAGCAAGTCCTCCAAGTGTATGGGAAAAGCAGCCTCACAGAGGAGGGGGCAAGTGACGCGGTCTGAAAGAATTCCTCTTTTCAGAGAACAAGCAGTGCTTTCACAGCAGTGGATACTTAGCTGTGGCACACAGTATACAGATTACATCAGGTCCATTCGCTGCCTTTAATTATTTTTTAAAAACAAAAGCGTGAAAATTTTCAGTTCTATATTTGAATTTTCAAGAGTAAAAGCATAAATAATAAAGGCATTATGAAGCAGGCAACAGGAGCTGGTGGAGAGCAATAGCACTGGTTCTTCGAAAACCTGGAACAGTAGCATGCTGTTCCCTTGGTATTAATGAATAGTTGTGTGAGACATACAAAAAGCCAGTATTTAAAGTATATTCTACAGTGCTTTTTGCAGGAGCATCAGTAGTATTACAAACAGATACTAATACCAGCTAGATACTACAACAAATACGATGCATTTGTAAGTGGCATCATCAGAAGAACACATAGGAGCTAAAAATATATACTGTGGCCATTTCAGAAGAGCAGCTATTTACACTTCTAACACTTTAAAAACATGTCATTTTTTGTTGGCATTTATGCAATTAACACAAGTATCTAAAGCATGTAAGTGACAGATTTAGCTACCTAAATGTGGGATATGGATGCCAGATTTGGGAACATCATCCACGCCAGACCTTCACTTTCAGTCTGCTACAGTAACTAAATTCTTCATCTTACCCAGACACATGCCAGCATGGTCTACCAGTGCGTCATATATAGATGTAGATAGTTCAGTTATTTGTCTTACCACATACTGTCCTTTTTTCATCCCTTTTTCATCCCTTGCTGCACAAGGCTGTGCTCTAGAATTCATGTAAAAAAAAAAAAAAAAAAAAAAAATTACAAAGTATAAAGTTATGGGGCTGTGCCTGCTTGAATCTGCACACAGGCTGAAACAGACTCTACAAAATCCAGGCTTCAATGCAGTGGGCTGGACACAAGGGATACTTTGTGCCATTGCCCTTCCAGTCACATAATGGCTCTTCATGTCTGTCCTGTGGGCACAGCCAGCCCTCCTGGGACGAGGTGCTCCTTGAGCTGGTGCAGTTAGAGAAGAGCAGCAGCAGACACAATCCTCCTGTTGTCCAGATCTGGCCCACAAGCCACCAATTAGACTGTCCTGAACTACAGCACTCAGTTGAAAGGGCTTCTAATTGTATTTTAACTGATCATTTCAGAAACATCCAGATCACTAATTACTAGTAGTCTATATGGTGCTTTAAGTGAGTAAAGCACTGTAGAAACCTGAAGTAACGCTATTAATATTCTCGATGGCTACAACACCCTCCCACGTATCAAAAGCATTGTCTCTTGTTCATAGGCACAAACCTCTGCCCTGGCTGCTCGCATCTGTGATCCAGCAGCCCAGCTGCAGCAGATGTTTTTGCAGCATCCTGCAAATAAGTAACAAAGAGCAATGATTCAAAATTACTTACATTCATTAACCAATATTCTACCAATATTAATAAAATACACTAGTAATAAACGTTGACTAAAACTTGTATGACATCCCTGCTTCAGAATATTTTACTTTAAATACTAGATCAACCTGAATCTCTGAACTCAGGGTGTTTAAATAAGCTCACCAGAAATGCAAATACTAACAAGCTGTTTGCTTGCCTGTTAGTAGCAGGCGTTATTTCTTTCCTCATTGTTGTAGTCATGCAGGAGGAGCAGTGGCATGGTGGAGAGCCCGGCCGGCCTGTGGAGCACACAGTGCTGGTGCTGTGCTTGTGCCATGAGTCCCAGGGATTTTGGTTTTCAAGGCTGGCAAGTTGGTACTCGCCAGAAGCATTAAATTCCTTTCCGAATGTTTACTTTTATTTTGTACAAGATGCCCATAGTCTGTTGAGGAATCCATTCTCCAGAAAAAATATTTAGAGTGCAAGTCACAGTTTTCTCCTCCAGAAATTCAGCCAAAACACACTGAATCTGCTAATCACTGACGACACAGTGGTGGTCAAGATGTTTATACATAAAACAGTATATCAGTGAGAGTAAAGCACAGTCTTGCTGATGTAATAGATACCTAGTAATGAAATGGAAAAGCTGTCTAAGCCCTTGTCTAAAATACGTGCTTTTACGAGAATATAGGTTAACTGTAGTACAGTGGATTTTAAATTCCAAATCTAAGCAATTAGAATTTTGAAGAGAATTTACTGGTGCAGGAAAAAAAGAAGGCTTGTTCTATCATTGGAAAATAAAATGCATGTAAATTGATACTAACACTGATTTTTTTTGTGAAGATTTATGTGAGATTAATCCCTTTACAGTCCTAAAGTGTATTAGTTTTCACTAATCTAACCTCATTTTTATGTGAGATTGCAGGCACAGGACAAGAGCAAGGAGCTAGCTCTGCTCTGTGACCAGGCACACGGCAAAGAGAGTGAGATCATCTATAATACACGTTTACACCTGAAGCCAACGATTCTGTGCCTGTAGTTGTACGAGCACCTGTTTGTGTGAGCAAACCCCTGAAACTGCTTTAAGGGAGACATTTGTTCATGCAGATAAGGTTCATGGTTACAAAGTGAGATTTGCACATGGGAAGAATTTTGCATGCAATTTTCAAGATGCATTTTTGCAGCCATTTGACCTGGGAGTTTTGCTTTCCACGTAGATGATCTGTCCCACTTGCTTGGGTAATGCTTTAAGCATGTTATTTGTGTGCCTCTCCTTTTTCTTAAGGCTGTGCAGTGGTGCTGTCTTTGGAAATGAAAATCTTGAAAAATTCTTGCACTTTGTTACTAAGTGCTGTTTTTTCCCTTTTGCAATGTTGATTGTGTTTGAAACTGAGTAGATCCGAGGGCAAGTAATTCCTCCCTTTTCTGTTTCAGGAAGCACTTGGCTTAACTGCCAGTGTGCTCTTTCAAATCTCACAGTTTGTACAGAATAGCAGACCTGAGCTGATGCCAGATAAGTGCTAGTCTGGTAAGAGGTAACGTTTAAACTGATGTGTTCCCATATTTTTTAATTAAAGATTATTCACATTTGGTTTTCATTCTTTTCAGAAGGGTCTGAGATATTGGTGTGCTAAGGTTTTTTTGCCTGATTTACACAGATTACTTTCTCATATTCATTTGGGTTTTTTTAAATATCACTTTTACATATCACTTGAAATTTATCCTGTGACTTTCTTGACTTTAATGTGAGTCAGGAAAGCATTTAAAATTTAGAGAATAAAATTATTTTTGAATAATGGCAACTCTTTTGCAAGAGATGAAAAGAGTTAAAAAATCAGCAAGCTTGTCACTTGATGACAGAAAACCTTACTTCTGAAAGTCATACAAACATGCAGCCTGGCCCGCGTTCAATGTCTTGACTGCCATAAAACTAGAAACATTAATTAGCATAAAATCATTGTCTAGTTCTGAAAAAGAAAAAAAAAAGGTAAATATTACATAGTTCTCAGTAAAGAGAGTATTCTTATTTTCCAGAAGACATCAGTTTAATTCTCCAGACACTCTCAGTATATAGAGCAACTTTTGATCTCCCCCCTACATAATACAGCACGGGAGAATGTCTCTTTAAATTCATTTATAAAGTAATTCAGGACTGTGGGTGTCTTTGATCTGTTCCTCTCTGCTAAAGTACAGAAGAGAAGAACATGTCGCTTAGCAACCCGGCACCGGAATTGGGGGGGAGGCGGGTAGGGATGGATGGTCCAAAGTCACAAAAGGGAAGGATTAATCCCCGTCAGAAAACTAAACTTCTGACAATGCTTCTCTAAAATAAAGCAAGCAAATAAACAAACACGGGTGTGTGCAGAATTAGGTAGTTTCACTTTTTTCTTTTTTTTACCCCACTTCTGGTCTATTAATAGTAATAACCAAATCAGAAAATCAGGCATGGGATAGGCAACACATGCTTAAATAGCTTCAGGACTGGGTTGCAGTCGAAGGGAATCTGAAGTTTTATTTTTAAACCAGTTAGGCATATTATAAATTGAATTAGTGTTGTCAAGACTAATCATAATTAATTTCATACCACAATTTTCGTCTGAACACTTCAAATAAATTTCATGTGATGTCTCATCCTATTTTACAGTTGGACAGCTTAAGTGTCACCAGACTTACTTATTTAGGGTCACTTAACTTGTAGTAAATAAAAATCTAGATTTCTTTAAACACTTACCAGGCTGTGATTAGCTGGTAACTAGGTAACATCTTAGTAACTCTGAAAAAAGTAACTTTGCAGTAGATGAGCAGCACTCAGACAACCTCTACCATTTCTGCAGCTGCAAGATGACAATGTCCCACAGAGCAGTGGCAGGAATGGCCACCATCTCAAACCTCTGCTGCCATTTCCATTTTTGACCAGCACTGTCCTAGAGCAGCCCTAATTTACCTTTTTCTTTTGCATGAGAACTCAAACATCAAACCCTCCAGCCCTGCACAGCCAAGGTATGGAGACTGTGGCAAAAAACTTTGCAAGAGGAAGAATGACAGAACTAGTTTAAATGTAGCTGACTTCAACATGTTTTGTACAGATGAAAAAAATCTCATACTTAAATAGAGGTAAATTGTTATTCCTTCTGTTAATGATCATAAAGATTATTTAAAATCGTCTTAATTTCTATGCCACATCCATTTAGGATTATGTCCTAATTACCTATAATTTATTACTGAACATATCGCTGTACAGTTAAGAGAATCCCAAAATGCTAATGGTTCCTGTTTCTCCAAGAGTTCAATACAGGTAATTCTGTGCTCAAATTCTGTAGTAAAACTGCAGATTGCCTACTTCCATCCACAGGCTAGGAGCTTATCTAAACTGGCATCTGTTGCATATTCCAGCAATTACAAACATACTTGAAACCAGACATTATTGAACTCTGAAGTAATGCTTATTTTTATCTAGTAAGGGAAATGGTAAATGATAGTGTGGACCTCATTAAGATCTAAGAATAGTGTACTTAAGAACTTAATACATATATAGCAAAATAATTTTTTATTATGCATGTATAGCAAAGACATAAAGAGGAGAATCCTGTCTTCAGTGAGATCAGTGGGAATTTTACTAGTTATTGCCTGGGTGCCTGGATTTTACCCAGGATTTCTGAGAGTGTGCTTTTTGTACTGGCAAATGCTTATGTAATGTGATTCTTTGGAGAAATTTAATTAAAGAGAAATGTGTAAAGCACTTGGCGTTATGCAGTCTAAGTTTGTTAATGTACAATATTTAGAATTAAGCCAAAATTAGAAGCAAATAATGCTAACTCAACTGTATTTCAATAAAAAATACTTTATGAAGAAGCTTGTATAGACTCTGCATATTTGTTTGTAACAAATATTTTCTATATGCTTTCATTTTTATGATCCAAACAAATTTAGAGGCTTTATCTAAAATGTCACAAGCTGAAGCAAACCCCATTGACTTGACTTTATCTTTGCTCTCAATTACACCAGGATCAACAATTCTTTACTGTAACTTAATACTGAATAAGTATTTTTGCTGACTGCCGAAATCGAGTGGGAGGAGGAGTCCAGCAACAGTAGAACTCTTTTACTTGCTCTTCTGTTTACAGTATCAGTTCATATACTTAGTGAGGTTTATTTTAGGAAACAGAAATATGCAATATCCATGATGCTAAGATTATCTTGGTTGGAGATTCTTTTTGTTAGAAAAAGTTGTGATTCCGACATGTCCAGCTTCTCAAACAAGCAAGCAGACTTTGCGAGACTGATAGTTTTGAGAAATATGTTTTGGACTACACTGACTTAAAACCATGTACAATTAACATAGCTTTCTGGTTATGGCATTCAGTTACCAGATCAGGATGATACATGAAAAAAGCATGCAGATAAGGCATCATTTGCCCAAACATGTCATCAGAAACTAACTTCCTAAAGGTATGTCTGAAGCTGGAGAATGAAAACAGATGTGTGATGCTTTTCCATTTCAGGGCAATCATTATAATATCACTATGATGCAGACTACCTTCATGACTTCTTAATCACAGTACTGACAGAGGGAGAGTAATCTAAATTCCCAGAATCTTCATATTGGAGAACTCTGTTTAGCACAAAGAAATTCTTGAAAATATACTTGGTGGAGAATTGGGCCCAGCTGACAGTATCGGGCAAAAGAAGATTTTCTTTGCCGTGGGACACTACACTGTGACAGCCTCTATTCTTAGGGAAGAATCTTTAATCTAAAATGTATCACACCATTTCTCTCTCTTGTAATCTCCTCCTAAATGAAAATAGAACTATTCATCTTTTTTCATGATGCATAGAAAACTTAGAAGTTAAAAATAAATCTCAGAGGACAATGGCTGTTTTTTCTCTTTATCTTTAAGAAAAAAGCACACTGGTCCCATTGCCTTCTGCAAAACAGTAGGTCATCACAGAAAGGTTTTCTGGTATTTGAGGCTCAGTTTCCCGTCATCAGTACTTAAAGCAATGTGAACTACAGCAGTGTCAGAGAATCTGGACATCTTTCTTGCTTGCAGTACTACCACAACGTCAATGTCTCTGACTCCAGCACCAGAGAGCTGGCATATAAATGGACTGAAAAATTTACTGAAAGGCTTTGATGTTGAATATATGTGGAATTTGAAAGGAATAGGAGAGTTTGTTTTTAAAAAGAAATTAATAAAAGACATAAGGCTATGCAAAATAAAGTACGGTCAGGAAATTCTTGTTATTTTTCTCACCATATAAGAACATGGACATTCACAGAGGGAGAGATAC